TTAGATCTATTTAAAGGATGACTATAAATTTTTATCGTACCTATATGCGTTAAGCAAATAACTAGTCATGATTTGTAGTTAGTGGTGCGCAATGAATAATTATATTCATTCACTAGTTCGATTTGAGAAAGCACTAGAAGTGTGTAATCATTACCTACATCTGTGTAAAAAAAATATTACTATATGAACGTAAGCAGAAATGGCCCATGAGGAGTTTCATTGAGAGTCAGTACAAGTGATGAGGTTATTACCCACAGCTGATCAACAATTCACTAGAAGTGTTAGGCATTACTACATCGGTGTAGAAAAAACTACTTACTATGTCCACGACGCAGAAATGGCCCATGAGGAGTTTCATTGAGTCAGTACAAGTGATGACCTTATTAACAACATCTAATCACCAGTTCACTAGAAGTGTGTAGGCATTACCTACATCGTGTTCGCAAATAACTACTTACTATATCACGTATGCAGAAATGGCCCATGAGGAGTTTCATTGAGAGCCAGTACAAGTGATGAGGTTATCCCCACAGCTGATCAACACTCACTAGAAGTGTGTAGGCATTACCTACATCGGTGGAGCAATAACTACTACTAAATGTACACGAAGAAAGCTAAGAAATGGCCCATGAGGAGTTTCATTGAGAGCCAGTACAAGTGATGAGTTATACAACATCTAATCAACAATTCACTAGAAGTGTGTAGGCATTACCTACAGGGTTGTGAAAATAACTACTTACTATGTCAACGTATGCAGAAATGGCCCATGAGGAGTTTCATTGAGAGTCAGTACAAGTGATGAGTTATTACCCACAGCTGATCAACAATTCACTAGAAGTGTGTAGGCATTACCTACATCGGTGTAGAAAATAACTACTTACTATGTCAACGTACGCAGAAATGGCCCATGAGGAGTTTCATTGAGTCAGTACAAGTGATGACCTTATTAACAACATCTAATCACCAGTTCACTAGAAGTGTGTAGGCATTACCTACATCGGTGTAGAAAAATAACTACTTACTATATCAACGTACGCAGAAATGGCCCATGAGGAGTTTCATTGAAGCCAGTACAAGTGATGACCTTATTACCCACAGCTAATCACCATTCACTAGAAGTGTGTAGGCATTACCTACATCTGTGTAGAAAATAACTACTTACTATGTCAACGTACGCAGAAATGGCCCATGAGGAGTTTCATTGAGAGTCAGTACAAGTGATGACCTTATTAACACATCTAATCAACAATTCACTAGAAGTGTGTAGGCATTACCTACATCGTGTAGAAAATAACTACTTACTATATCAACGTACGCAGAAATGGCCCATGAGGAGTTTCATTGAGAGTCAGTACAAGTGATGATTATTACCCACATCTAATCAACAGTTCACTAGAAGTGTGTAGGCATTACCTACATCGTGTAGAAAATAACTACTTACTATATGAACGTACGCAGAAATGGCCCATGAGGAGTTTCATTGAGAGCCAGTACAAGTGATGAGGTTATTACCCACAGCTGATCAACAATTCACTATAAGTGTGTATGCATTACCTACATCGTGTAGAAAATAACTACTTACTATGTCAACGTACGCAGAAATGGCCCATGAGGAGTTTCATTGAGAGTCAGTACAAGTGATGACCTTATTAACAACATCTAATCACCAGTTCACTAGAAGTGTGTAGGCATTACCTACATCGGTGAGAAAATAACTACTTACTATATCAACGTACGCAGAAATGGCCCATGAGGAGTTTCATTGAGAGCCAGTACAAGTGATGAGGTTATTACCCACATCTGATCAACAATTCACTAGAAGTGTTTAAGCATTACCTACATGCACGTTTGTCATGCACCAATAACTACTCACAGTAGCATAATTGTAGATAGGAAATATAACATGACAGCAAATGCATCACAACTTCAACAATAGAATAGAGAATAACAACATCACTTTAGTCATTAACCAATAATCATCAAATACATCACAATAACTGATTTACATATGTTTCATGACAAGTGGACATTAAGATAATGCTTCCACTTAATGTTTCATTGTCAAGGACATCACCCACCCAACCGTCCACAGTAATTACAATGATATAACAATAACAGTTAAAGCATTGACCAACAAAAAACATACCTAACAACATAATGCCAACATGGCCATTAACCAAAACCAACATGGCCAATACATTAAACTATTTACATTTTTTCAATCAAAAAAATGGCCCTACAGTGCTAACAAAAAAATGACGCATCACATGGTGTACATCCCAAATCAACTTGGATTTGGGTTTTTGCACGTCCTTCTAGTATGTCCAACTTGATGACATTGAGTACAGCGGTATATCTTTTTGTCTTGGTATTGTGACTCATGCCTTGTAATCTTAGGCCTTCCAGGAGCCCGACTTGTGATTGGGGTTGCAGCAAAATTTGATTAGATATATTCTCCATCCTATAGTCATTTAAATTTGGCATGTCAATTGTGACCACCGGAATCATGCACCTCCCATAAATCTTCTGCTGACATGAAAATTTGTACCATCCCTCAATGTAATCATAAATATCACCATGGACAGTTTTCACCGCTGCACAAGCATGCCTACATGGAATCCCCGTCATCTGCCACTCTGCACAACTACAATGGTGCAAGCTGAGACTCACTCGGTGGTGTCCACGTGAGGTTTGGACATTGACATTTCCCCTACCATAATCTGTTGTAATGAACTGCTTACTAACCTCCACATTTTCCTTTACTTTGGTCTCTATCTTTGGCCCTATACAACTCTTCCATTTTGTCATTGCCACACTTGATGCTTGCATCTTTTTCGCAACTTTCTCACGATGCTCATGAATCATTTGGGCTACATTGTGCTTTCTTTCCTTGACCATCCAAGCATTGAATGATTCAGCAATATTGGTGGTTATATTATCCCATCGTTTATATGGGAACTTGCTCACAGCCCACTTATCTACATCCCCATGATTGTTAAGCCAGTCAAATAACTCTGGAGAGAACTCCCTCATTTCTGCCATTGCCTTGTCAAATTCATCGTCAACCCTAGCCCATGCAATTTTATTAAGAAGCATTAATGCATCCTCTTTAGAGCGTGTTCTGCTCCTTTTACCTCTGTTCAATTTCAGCCACTCTGCACTAAAGTTTTCCTTAACGTGCCTATAACAATAAGCATGCCTGTCAGAACCGAACACTGATTGTACAGCTCCTATTATGGCATTATGACGGTCTGAACAATAGTTAATGGCTTTGAGCCAACTATCTTTTTAATCATAGACATAAACCAAGTCCAGTCATCAATTGTCTCTCCTTTACAATAGCCATTGCAAAAGGCAACAGCTCATTATTTGCATCATATGCTGAACCTGCGAGGAGTGTTCCCTTATATGGTCAAGATAAATGAGTTCCGTCAACATACAGAACGGGTCTAGCACCAGCCAAGAAACCCTCTATACAACACCCGTATGCGATGAACACACGCTCAAATCTGTAGTTAGGACCAGCTACCCATTCAGCTACTGTTTTCTCATCGGTTTCCTTCAGCCTTTGGCATATCCATGGTATTAACATATATGAATGTTCAGGTCTACCATGTATGTCTTCTATTGCCTTCTCCTTTGCCCTATATGCCTGTTTATATGTAACATTCAGACCATATTCTGTTTGCAATTTTGTCCTTATTTCACTTGCCCGCTTGTCAACATGGTTCCTCACCTCATCGATAATTATACAGGATGTCATATTAGATCTTGCACACTGTCTAACTTGCAAATTATCTTGGGCACTATGGACATGCTCATTAATGAATGTGGTGACACGAAGATATGGAACATTCTTCCCCAATGCACTTGCACATATTTTCCATGGACAACCTTCCACTTTGCAAATGACAGACATTCTCTCTTTGCTGTTCCTCAAAAATTTAAGCTTAAAGTTATGTGCGATGCTAAACTTGTACAAATACTCCCTAAACAAACCAGCATGTGCAATTTTCTGCCCCATGCCTGTAAAAAGTTCCAACCATTTACTATAGTTCATCTCAGTAATTTGTGCCACTGCATTCCCTCCACTGGAGCTTGGGCCTTCATGCGGGCCATCACTGCCTACATGTGAGCCACTTGAGACTTGATAAGGAATGCATTCAGCAGTACTTTCATGACTCACATGCTCATAATCGTTTCCCAAACTGATATAAGATACAGCCATTTCCTGGCGTGACAATCCCAACCATCTTTCAATTTCGGATCTGCATACATAATAACTACAATTGTTAGCATATTGACAACATCTGTTCCTACATTCACTACATTATCACAGCAAATAGCAACTTACACCAGCAAAGATTTTTTTACTTACATTTGTGTATCAGTCATCTCATGTGGTTCTGTCTCAATTCTGCATGCACGATAACTACATTTGTTAGCATATTCACAACATCTGTTCTTACATTCACTACATTAGCACAGCAAATAGCAACTTACACCAGTAAAGATTTTTTTACTTACATTTGTGCATCAGTCATCTCATGTGGTTCTGTCTCAATTCTGCATGCACGATAACTACATTTGTTAGCATATTGACAACATTGTTCTTACATTCACTACATTAGCACAGCAAATAGCAACTTACACCAGCAAAAATTTTTTTACTTACATTTGCGCATCAGTCATCTCATGTGGTTCTGTCTCAATTCTGCATACACGATAACTACAATTGTTAGCATTTTAACAATATCTGTTCCCACATTAACTACATTAGCACAACAAATAACAACTTCAACCAGAAGAAATTTATAACTTACATTTCTTGATCATTGATTTTATGTCTTTCAGTCTCATTGCCTTTCAATGATACATACACATGCGCAATGATGTCATTATGCACAAAAAGATTTCTAACTCCGCTATCATCAACAAGATTAATTAATGTCCTCTCATCATACTTGACAGTATACTTCATGTCCCAACTGCTACCATCATAACCACTGCATTCTGATATAGTTGCCCTTAAATCTTCAAGTGTCATTCCATCTTTTATCGTTTCTGCATGTACTCTGCCTCCATGATATCTAACTTGACCTTCAGGACTAATAACAAATTCTCCATCTACATGAAAGTAACAAAATAATTCCTTCCCAGGAGTGGAGCCAATATTACAATTCATTGTGCAAGCCAAGCTGAAACAATTGAATAATCATTACGTTAGTTCACCGATAATGATATTTTCTCACTTCTTTAAATAAAGATAAATGACAGTACCTCTTCACTCATTAACAACTTTAGTTTATGCTTTCACACTTTAACATTAGCTATTAACTATAATATCTACCCTATCATAACTGTCATGCCTCAAACTTCAATGTCATGCAATCAGCTTCGACTTTCTCCCAAAAACAATCCTCCATTCCCCAACACTAATCACTGTAAACCCTACCAAAAAGCAACAAACCCCTATGGATAAATGCTTCAGCTCAGGCAAATAAAAATACGAACTTCACTATACCAACGAAACGCTATAAGTACGCATGCTTCGACCTTTGTACGTAACCCCATTTACTGTATCAGCTTCGTCGGAGAAAACGTTGATAGACCCATATTGATAAATGATCATGGTAGGGGATGAAAAGACGAAGATTGTGGTGCACAAAATTACTTCACTTGCTTTTTTCAACCTCATTTAGATTTCAAGACCAAGAACGTGTACCCAACCATACCCACAATCACAATACTTTAAAATGAAGAACAAAACCACCGTGATTAGACCCCAGGATGAATAGACGATAACTGTGGTGTGAGAAATTACTAACCTTGCTTGCTTCAACCAACTTCCAAGGTCCCACCGTCCAACGTTCTCCACCTTTCTGCAGTATAATTCTACAGAGCCATAAGTGTCATCGACATTTCCTTGCTTCAGTATAATTCTTTTTGCTTTTACATCAGAAGGGCGAATTTGTCCATTTGCCCTCATTATACAAATGACAGATTGGGTCAATGACCCAATCTGTCATTTCTACAATTCCAGGACCCAAACTGGAATTGTATATATTGGAGTGGCTTTATCTGTCATTTTCCCTTAAACTTATGGTGGGGAGACAGGTGGATCCCCAACACTAAGTTTACTACGAAAATAAGAAAAAGTAGAACCAGAAAGTGGCTTGGTTAAAATGTCAGCCACTTGATCAATTGCAGGAATATGAAGAACTTCTAGTTGCTTGCATAAGACTTTCTCACGAACGAAGAAAAGATCCAACTCCATATGCTTTGTCCGATGGTGCAAAATAGGATTGTGAGCTAAGTGAACAGTGCTTGGATTGTCACAGAGGACTAATGGCATCTCTGAACATGTAACACATAACTCCGATAATAAAGATTGAAGCCAAAGAACTTCAGCAACAGCAGAGGCAAGACTACGAAATTCTGCTTCTGTGGAAGAACGTGCCACTGTATTTTGCTTCTTAGCACTCCAAGAAATGAGATTCCCTCCAAAATAAACACAATATCCTGAAGTTGAACGCCTGTCATCAACATCAGTTGCCCAGTCTGCGTCTGAAAAGGCTATCAGTTGAAGGGACTGAGGTTTGTGTAGAGTGAGACCATAGGATATGGTCCCTTTAAGGTAACGGAGGATTCGCTTTACCGCTGTCCAGTGATTTTCAGATGGATTCTGCATGTATTGACAAACTTTATTAACACTGAAAGCTATTTCAGGTCTTGTAATGGTGGCATACTGTAAAGCACCAACAATAGACCGATAAAGATGAGGGTCAGCCATTGGAGAGGAATCAGATTGAGAAAGTTTGAAACCAGAGGTCATAGGCGTCTTTACTGGTTTACAATTAGACATACCAGCACGAGTAAGTAGATCCGTGACATATTTTTTTTGAGATAGCAAGAGACTACCCATAGAGCCTTTTTGAACCTCAATACCTAGAAAGTAATTCAGATCACCAAGATCTTTCAGAGCAAATTCATCATTAAGTTGGGACTTGAGTTTCTGAATTAGTGTGGAGGAGCTACCAGCAATGATAATATCATCCACATAAGCAAGCACATAGATGACTGCTGAAGAAGACCTCATGATAAACAAAGAGGGATCACAACGACTTGGCACAAAACCAAACTTTTGTAGAGCAGTAGTTAATCTGTGAAACCAAGCACGAGGTGCCTGTTTGAGACCATAGAGAGCTTTGTGTAACTTGCAAACTAGATGAGGATTGTTATTATCCTCAAAGCCAGGAGGTTGCTTCATGTAAACATCTTCTTCTAACACACCATTTAAGAATGCATTATTCACATCAATTTGTGAAATAGACCAGTCATTAAACAAAGCAATAGTAAGAACTGTTCGAATAGTTGCAGGTTTGACAACAGGGGAAAATGTTTCATTATAATCAAAACCATAGGTTTGATGAAACCCTTTAGCAACTAGACGAGCTTTATATTTGTCAAGAGTACCATCTTGTTTTTCCTTCTTCCTCCAGACCCATTTGCAACCAATAACAGGATGATTAGATGGTGGTGGAACAAGGGACCAGGTTTTGTTGTTTAGTAAGGCTTGATATTCAGATTTCATGGCATCATACCAATTAGAATCTTTGAGAGCAGATTTCACAGAAGTAGGTATAGGAGATATAGAGGAGGTGGTGAAGAGTTTGGGTTTGAGGATACCAGATTTTGACCTTGTTTGCATTGGATGACAGGATACTACAGGCTGTGCCATTGAAGTAGATAAAGGAGACAAGGTAGATGGAACAAGGTGTGCCTCATTAGCAGAATTAGAGGTGTTAGGAATTGAAGAAGAGGAGGAAGTAGAAGGAGAAGATGATGAAGAAACAGCTGGAAGAATATGTGAGTATGAGGGAGAAAAGGAGTGAGGTGTAGAGGTAACAGTATGAGACAAAGAAGTAACAGGTACAAGAGGAATATGAGATGGAGTGATAGACCCATAGTGAGAAACAAGAGCAGAAGAAGTAGGAGAAGGCTTTGCACGATAAGGAAAGGATTGTTCATGAAATTTAACATCTCTAGAGATATAAATTCGCCCAGAAGGAGCCAAACATTTGTACCCTTTGTAATGAGAACAATAACCAAGGAAAGTACACTCAACAGATCGAAAAGACAATTTATGAGAATTGTAAGGACGTAATAATGGATAGCAGGTATAGCCAAACACTTTTAAGTGAGTGTAATCAGGTGTAGTGTGGAAAAGTTTAGTAAAAGGGATTTCAAAATTAATAGCTGAAGAAGGAACTCGATTAATGAGATAGGTGGCAGTTAAAAAGGCATCAGACCAAAAGGTAAGAGGTAAGTTAGCATGAGCTAGTAAGGTTAGACCAGTATCAACAATATGTCTATGTCTTCGTTCAACAGTACCCATTTGAGTATGAGTATAAGGACAGGACAAACGATGGACAATACCATTTTGAAGTAAAAAGGGATCAAAGGCTTTAAACTCACCACCTCCATCAGTTTGCAGAGACTTGATTTTGTAGTCAAGTTGATTTTCAATCATAGTTTTAAATTGAATAAAGGCAGATAGAGCAGCAGCTTTATTTTTAAGAGGGTATAGCCAAATGAATTTAGAAAAGGCATCAACAAAGGCAATGTAGTAAGTGAAACCAGAGGAAGAAACACAGGGAGATGGGCCCCATAAATCAGCAAAAATTAGCTCAAGAGGCTTAGTATATACAGATTTAGAAGGGGGAGAGGGATTGCGATGGAGTTTACCAAGACAACAAGAAGAACAGAAAAATTGAGAAACATCTTTATTAGAATCAACTTTTCCAAGCTTACAATCTTTGATAAGTCTGTTAACAATTGAAAAGGAAGCATGTCCTAAACGAAAGTGCCATAAGGCAACCAAATCAGAAGGAGGTGAAGAGGTGACATCAATAGTGCGTTCAAGTGTTTGTGATTGTGGCACAGTGGTGGTTGAACTGTGCTGTCCATTACACGTATTACAAGGAACAGAAGTGGAACAAGTAGCAGAAACAGTAAACAGACGAGCTTGATCAGAAGATACTTGCGGAGAAGAATTGCGAAGATTGTCCAAATGCAAAGGAGGAAGGGAGTCAAAATAATAGAGACCATCACTTCTGCGATGTCCCTGAAGCAGGATTTGATGAGTTCCCTGAGATTTAATGTAACACCAGTATGGGTGAAATTCAAAATAGACATTATTGTCAATAGCTATTCGGGAAACACTCATTAAGTTATTAGCCATATCCAAGCCATGTCAATACTCATCTCAACCTTCCACCATGCCAAGTCCCCTTCTGCCATCGATCAGGTAACTAGATCTCAACTCACCGTCTCCCAATTCACTACCAGTGATTAACAAGGTTAATTGAGCATGAGCCGGGATAAGATCTGGTGTTTTTCTCTTTCTTTGTGAGGAAATCATTCTAAACTCTAACTTTAAAAACCTACAGAGAACATTTGCTAGGTACACAGAACGAACTGCTTTTGAGAGGCCCCTTACTAGTGGTGTTGCTTATGCTGTGAGGGTGCTTCATTCTGAAAGGGAACAATTCGAGAAGCAACATGGTTGGACCATTAAGAGGATGGATACCCTTGAGCAGAACCCCATTCATGAGGATGACTATGCTCCTGAGGCATTGGAGCCTTCCCTAGTTCGAGAAGAATATGCTCCTGTCGTTTTTGCACAGGATACAATTTCCCATGTTATTTCTGTTGATGTGCTGTCCGGAAAGGTGGGTTTCTTTTGCATCTTCTCTGATAACGTTTCTGAAGCGTTTGTTGAATTTGTGTTTTTACATGTCAAAAGTACACTTAAACCATTTCATGTTTAATGCTCCCTCCCTTTTTGCCGGGGCGCATTTTCTTTTGGTATTGCTTATTTCAGTGGGACTACAGTTTTGGAAAATAATAATATACATGAATAATCTCTGTTTTCGTGCATTTCACTAAGCTACTCCTTTTTTCAATTACATCTATGTCGCCTACATTTTGAGTTATGACTCTTATTGGCTTGTTCATGAACAGGAAGATCGTGAAAATGTTTTGCGTGCCAGAGAGTTAGGGAAAGGAGTTTTAACCGCTCCTTTTAGGCTACTCAAAACAAATCATCTTGGAGTTATCCTCACCTTTGCAGTTTACAACACAGATCTTCCATCAAATGCAACCTCAAATGAAAGGATTCAAGCAACAAATGGGTAGGTATGAATTTAAGAACTCATTGGGATCTGACATTGTTAAATTTTTGAACATCAACATAGCTTATTTTCAGTGGCAGTTATAGCTCTGAAGCGACTAATCTGCTTTGCTGGATGACTTATTTTTGCTTTAAAATTTAGGAATAAGCAATTTATGCATGCTGTTTATGTTAGGGAGAGCTTTAATGTTTAGCCACTGTTTCGCAGGTATCTTGGTGGCGTCTTTGATATTGAGTCATTGGTTGAAAAATTACTTCAACAACTAGCTAGCAAGCAAACTGTGATTGTTAATGTGTATGATACTACTAATCATACCCACCCGATTCCAATGTATGGTTCAAACGTATCAGATGATGGATTCTATCATGTTAGTTCCCTGAACTTTGGAGATCCTTTTCGGAAGCATGAGATGCACTGTAGGTAACTGATATGATGCACAAGGAGTCTGATGTCTTTATAATCCCTTGCTCTCAGGCATACTTTTTAGCATGATGATGCTTCTTTAGAATTAAAAAAATGTATCCAGTGTGACGGGATTAGCCCATATAAGATGATGTCAGATTCTTGAGTCTCATGAGGTTTTGCCATTAGCACTACCAAACTAGGTATTTTTTTTTTAAAATAAAATTTTACTGTTCCCCTTTTTCAGGGTTTGCTAGTCTCAATCTCTAATTTCATATATTTGTTTATTGCAATAATTGAAATGGGGAAGTCATCTAAATATATGAAGCAAGTCATCTAAATATATGAACTATGGATTCTGGCACAGGTTCAAACAGAAACCTCCGTGGCCCTGGTTGGCAATAGCCACATCAATTGGCATCCTTGTTATTACGCTCCTTGTGGGTCATATTTTTCATGCTACTGTGAATCGAATTGCTAAAGTGGAGGATGATTACCGTGAGATGATGGAACTTAAAAAACGAGCTGAGGTAGCTGATGTTGCCAAATCCCAGGTATGTGATCCCATTTTCTTTGTAACAGCTCAAGGCCTCATATTTGTTCTGTTTGAGGAGGACTAACCAAATATTGATGCTGTAGTTTCTGGCCATCGTTTCTCATGAGATCCGAACACCAATGAATGGTGTTCTTGGTAAGTAGCTAAAAACTCTGAGACTTGTCTTAAATTGCCAAGGTTGCACACGAACATCAGACAAATTGAAGCTTCTGCTTTGTGTACTGACCTCACTCTAAAATTGAACATTCAGGAATGTTGCACTTGCTTATGGACACAGATCTAGATGTAACACAGAAAGAATATGTCAGAACAGCACAGGGTAGTGGAAAAGCTCTAGTATCGCTTATAAATGAGGTTTTGGACCAGGCAAAGATTGAATCTGGTAAGCTTGAGCTTGAGGCAGTGCTATTTGACATACGAGCAGTTTTGGATGATGTGTTGTCACTATTCTCTGAGAAATCTCAAGAAAAGGGAGTAGAGGTAATTTTTTTTTTTTGGGCTTTCTGTGGTTGAACTTTCTTCACGTTGTTAATTATAAAATGTACACTGTATAAGTAAGCTCTTCCTAATTTATTTATTTATTTTTTTGGAAGAACAGTTGGCAGTGTATGTCTCAGATAAGGTTCCTGAACTGCTTGTGGGTGATCCAGGAAGGTTTCGGCAAATAATTACAAATCTCATGGGCAATTCAATTAAGGTATGTCTTGGCTGTACCAATAGAAAATTTATAGAGATAAGAAAATATGCATCATTAGATTTTATCAAACTTCTTCCCATTTTTTATTTTGCAGAAAATTGCTTCCCTGTTATGATGTAAAGTTATTTTGGTGCCTTGGATGTTTTTTTTTTTTAAATGTCCTATTCCTCATGGGATAAAATGGGTGGAATGAAATTTATTTAGAGATCTACCATAGTCACCTCCTAATCAGTTAATATAATTTCATAAAATATTTTCAAAAATGAACTTAGTTTTCCGTTGTTCCAACCAACTGTAGTTATCAAAAGAGCTAAAGTGAGAAGTGTTTTTTAATAGCTCATAATGGAATCTGATTTGGTAATTCTTTGGCAGTTCACAGAGAAAGGGCACATATTTGTCACTGTCCATCTTATTGAGGACGTTGTCAATTCCATCGAAGTTGCAACAGCAAAGAATACCCTGAGTGGCTTTCCTGTTGCTGATAGATGTCAAAGTTGGAAAGGATTCAATTCTGTTGGTCAAGAAGGACCTCTGGGTTCTTTCTCATCTTCCTCTTCTGATCGCATTACTCTCATTGCATCTGTTGAAGATACAGGCGAAGGAATTCCTCAAGAAGCCCAATCCCACATCTTCACTCCATTCATGCAGGTTGGTCCTTCTGTCTCCAGAAAACATGGGGGAACAGGTATTGGGCTGAGCATCAGCAAGTGCTTGGTTGGCCTCATGCATGGGGAAATTGGATTTGAGCTGTCCAAAGATTGAATCTACTTTCACATTTACTGCTGTCTTCAATGAATCCCCTATTTCAACTGATGGTAAAACTCAGCAAATTAAGAACCAACCTAACCTTGCATCCTCAGAATTTCAGGGCATGACCACACTTGTTATAGACCCTAGACCTGTCAGAGCTGAAGTGTTGAGGTATCACATTAAACGGCTTGGCATTCATGTTCAAATAGCTTCGGATTTAAATCAAGGTTTGTCTGTCATAAGCAAGGGGGATATGGTTATCGATATGATCTTAGTTGAGCACAAAGTCTGGGATGGAGATTCTGGTGTTTCATCTCAATTTATCGGTAAGATGAGGAAAATTGACGGCAGGGATCCTCCAAAGCTGTTCGTTCTTGTTAATTCTAGCAGCTCTTCCAGAACAAGTTCCATAACATTGGGTGTCAATAATCCAACTGTCATTGTAAAACCTCTGAGAGCAAGCATGCTTGCTGCTACATTACAGCGAGCCTTGGGGGTGGGGAACAAGGGGAATCCTCGAAATGGGGAGCTTCCAAGTTTGTCTCTCTGCCATCTTTTGCGTGGGAGAAAAATCCTCATTGTAGACGACAATAGTGTGAATCGAATAGTAGCAGCTGGTGCTTTAAAAAAGTATGGAGCTGATGTGGTCTGTGTTAACAGTGGAAAAGATGCCATCTCTATGCTGAAGCCGCCTCATCAATTTGATGCCTGTTTTATGGATATTCAAATGCCAGAAATGGATGGGTATGCAACAACAGAACTTTTTTTAATGGATGTGACTTTGTAATTAAACTGAAAATATTAATTGTCTATCCTCTACTTTTATTACTTTTACAATAAATGATAATACAACATTTAACTTGTACATTATATGCTGATGTAAAACCTTGTTTCAACAGGTTTGAAGCTACTAGGATGATTCGGGAGATGGAACGTGTAAACAGAGGAGAAGTGCCCGTGGAAACCTTGGAAAATACTTCAAACTGCCACATGCCCATTTTGGCTATGACTGCAGACGTGATTCAGGCAACGCAAGAGGAATGCCTGAAGTGTGGAATGGATGGATATGTTTCGAAACCATTTGAAGCCGAACAGCTTTATCAGGAAGTTTCACGGTGTTTCCAATCCACTTCATGAGAGAATACCATTCAGAAAATCAGAGATTTGCAATGGACGCATTGCTGCCTGTTTTCCAGGACACTCACAAGCTTGCAAATAGTTTCACAAGTTTCCTGACAGAAGTTCTCCATTTATCCAATGATGACCAATGAAAACTGTAGCTCTCTACTTTGAAAGCTTGATGGTTTTCTTCCACAAGAGGATGAAGAAAGTAAACTAACAGAAAGAAGTTGAAGCAATTTATTGTTTGTGGGGAAAAAAGGGTGACGATCCTGAACTGTGGAATGGACTAGCCTGCATTTTTAATCATCTGTTCCATTGTCTTTTTGATGTGCATGAGGATTCATGGCTTAAAATTTGCTTTTTCCTTTGTGGCAGGGAGTGTACATAGGAGTCAAAGTTTGATTGACTGAAATTGAGTTTGAATTGGTGGTTGTTATGGTATGGAAACCTGTTGGTTCTTCCTTGTGCTTCCATTGAGCACAAGGTCCAAGGAGAATCGAGGAATTGGGTCGGGTGTAAAATACTGGAGAATACAGGTTCTGGGGGTCACATCTTGAGCGTGTGATGATAAAAAATGACAGTTCTTTTGGGGAGTCTCTGTCCTGGGAGTTCTGATGTATGTGTATATTTATTAGTAGTGATCAATTAGCTACTGATCAATAGAGGAGTGGAAGTGCACCAATGTGTATGGCTTGAAATAAAAATATAGATTCATGCTCATGACTCTATTCCTGTTTGGAATCACTTTTTATGAGCTTAAAGTGAGCTTAAATTATAAAATAAGCTAGATTGCAGCAGAGGCCTGTTTGGTTTCACTTATACATGATTGGGCTTATGGAAAAAGCCCCTGATAAAACGCTCGATTCTGATAAGCTCAAGAAAGGAGCTTATTGCTTAGCCCAGAAGAGCTTCTCGCGGGAAAAAAAAAGGGTGTCAGATGCTCAGTTGTCTTTTTCCTCTCCCATTTTCATTTCCGGGTCTCCGTCTCACACAAGTCGTCTTTTTCCTCTCCCATTTTCGTGCCTGTTCCTATTTTCCTCTCCCATTCTCTCTTGCCGCCGTGAGCTGAAGGTCCCTCTCTGGTCGCCGTGAGCACTATCGTGCGCTTCGAGTCGTGGGTGTGAGGTGTCCGTGGTCGGCTGGAGGTGCTTCTTCCTTGCAAGTGCGAGCTGGTCCCGCCGTCTGCAACCGAGGTCGCCGCCGTCTGCCTGTGGTTTCGAGCTGTGCGTCCGAGCTGTGCGTCGATCTTGTCTTGCGAGTCTGATACACGGTGGGATCTATCTCTAGCTGCCTTCGATTCGGTTGATCTATTACAGGTTGGTGATTACAATTTTTTCTTTCTTTTCTGGTTTGATTCTTGGTCGGATTTGCTGTCGCCGGTGGAAGTGAAGAGTTCTCCGTCGCCGGTGTTCGGTTTATGATTTTTTCGGTCTGGTTTGTTGCGGTGCTTTGTTTCTGTCGCCGGTGGAAGTCAAGTGTTCTCCGTCGCCGGTGATTTTTTCGGTCGGTTTATGATAATTGATTTGTTTTCCTTCTGGTTGTCCGACGGCTTGCTGGTGGTTTTGTGAATTAACGGGGAGCAGAACGTAGATGGTGTATACGTGATGAATCATTTATTTTTTTTTTGGTGAAAACGTGGTGATCATTCTGGATATTGTATAAGTGCGCATGAGCTTGTGTATATGTGTATATCAGAGTGTTACACTGATTATTGGGTTGCAATGGTCCTGGAATTTTGAAAGAAAAATGTACAAAAAAACAAAATTTTTTATGTGAAATAGATTGAAGTGTATATCAGAGTGTTACGCTGATCATTCAGTGGTTTTATGTGAAATAGACTAAAGAAAGTAATTTGATAACAATTTTTTAGTCATTATAATGCTGGTTTTTAATAATGTAATTAACTACTGAATTGTCTTCCCTAATTAAATTTCTATTAAATAAGTCATTATTAATTAAGTTTCTGTTAAAATATGGCAGTTCTAATTGAAAGATGAACAATTTTTTTTTCAAACAATAAGAAAAACAATTGATTAATTGAGTTTTTGAATAAGAAAGCAAAATAGTTTTTGCAATTATAATGTGTTAATTAATATTTGACGATTTCATAATAATAATTGGAGTTTTGATAACAAATGCATTTACAATAATATTAAGAAAATAGTATATATGTTTGTTTGGTGATTACATAATGTGGCTTTTATTATTATATATTTAGGGTTTTGGTTGATTTAGTTAGTTTTGTTTCCATCAAAAGGATAAAGAAATGGACAATGATAAGGGAAAAGCGACATGGGATCCTTACACGACAAAGATTCTAATCGATGTTTGTGCCGAGCAAATAGTGCACAAGGAACGACAAGGAACATCATTTACAACGCCTGGTTGGGGAAAAATTGAAAAGAACTTTCAAGAAAGGAGTGGGAGAATGTATGACAGAAGGCAATTGAAGAATAGATTTGATATATTGCGAAAAGATTGGAAATTGTGGGATAAACTGATGTCTGGAGAGACTGGGATTGGTTATGATGTAGCCACAAATAGGATTTTAGCCTCCGATGAGTGGTGGCAACGAAAATTACTGGTAATTATTTCCGTTGGTTGAGTTTTAATTTTGAATATCCGTTACGACTTTGTTTGATTTTGCCTAATTATGTTAATGTAATGTAGGTTGACCCTAATTTCAAGAAATTTAGATATCAGGGGTTGATGTTTGCATCAGAGCTGCAGAAAATATTCAAAGATGTTGTGGCTTCGGGAGAGTATATGTATGCACCATCAGCCTCACAGCCCCAGTCGACACTTGTGACACAGGCTGGTACAGAAGAGGAGGAGGATGTTTATAGAGTTGGCCTGGACCAACAGGAAGGGTCAGGGGACAGTGAAGATGGAAATTTTGGAGTTGACCCAACAGCCACTGCAGGATTCACCGATGACTTTGCCGGTTGCAACTTAAACACCCCTGCGAGTACTGGACCAAGTGGCTCAGGAAGCTATGGAAAGAGGAAGAGGGGTGAGACATCTGATGTAAAGAAGAAGAAAAAAGTTTCCGCGTCTACTAAAATTTCTGATAGTCTTAGTGTTATAGCAGCTGCTTCTGACAAGCGAGCAGCGGCACTGGTTGAAGATCCCCAAGTAGTTGACAAGGTTTTAGCACACCTGACTACCGTTGAGGAGCTTAATGATGATCCCCAACTATATTATGCATGTGCCAAGATGCTTACGCGGTTGAGGTGGGCTAGGCGAGCCTATTTGGGGTTTATGCATGATAGAAGGAAGTTGTTGGCGTGGTTAATACCGGCAGCACAAGATCCAGACACATGGAAGTAGGCACCTCTAGAATAGGATTTAGTTGTTGCACTTGTTAACTTGACATGTTTGCTGTTTGAACCTGAACTGATGTGACTTGTTGTAGGAACTTTAGTAATGACTATGTAATATATTTATACTAATTTCTAATTGTCATCTATGTGTTTGGTTTTTCTGTTTGTAGTGTGAAAATTATTTACATGGGGTTTAGTGTAGTCCTTATAATGCTTACACTTTGTTGTTATTATAGTTACAGGGTTAACTCCAAAAATGGCTAATTGGAATGATGATTCACAGTGGAATGAAGATACTGTGAGGGATTGGGATGATGATTCACCATGGAATGAGGATACTTTGAGGGATTGGAATGATGATTCACAGTGGAATGAAGATGACCATGACAGACGGTTATCCATGATTAATGAGGAATTAACACAATATGAAGCAGTAGGTGCATTGGTTGGTCATTACTGCGAAATGTATATGTTTAAACAACCCTGTAGAACTAGTGAGCAAACAGGAAATTTATGGGTACAAGACATTATGAATGGGCATGATGATCAATGTCCTGAAATGTTTAGAGTGGATAAACATGTTTTCCACCTCTTATGTACTAAATTGGAGGAACATGGTTTGCGAAAGTCTAGGTACATAGGAATTGAAGAAGTGGTCGCGATGTTTTTAAATACGATTGCACATGGACAATGTAATAGGATGATCCAGGAACGATTTCAACGTTCAGGGGAAACTGTAAGTAGGCACTTTCACAATGTACTACAAGCTTGCCTTAGCCTATCAAGTGAACTCATTCGACCTGTAGATCCTACATTTCGTGGAACTCATAGAAAAATTGAGAATGATCCACGTTATTATCCATTTTTTAAGGATGCAATCGGAGCAATTGATGGTACTCACATATCGTGTGTTGTCCCCGCTGCAAAACGAGATAGATTTATTGGCAGAAAGGGAAATCCATCACAAAATGTCATGGCTGTATGTGATTGGGATATGTGTTTCACTTTTGTCTTGGCAGGATGGGAGGGATCTGCACATGATGCTCGTATATTTGATAGCGCTATTACAAATTCATCTCTAAATTTCCCTCATCCACCTCCAGGTATATGTTTATATGTTCCAATCATGCACGTTTTTAATTATTTTATATTTTCATTCATTTCATAACGTCTGAAATTGTTTCATGAATCTTTAGGGAAATATTACTTGGTTGATGCGGGATATCCAACACCAAATGGATATCTAGGTCCATACAGATCTGAGCGCTACCACCTTCCGGACTTCCGACGACAAGTAGGATTCCGAAATAGTAACGAAGCCTTCAATTATTATCATTCCAGTTTAAGGTGCACAATAGAAAGAACATTCGGTGTCTGGAAGAATAGATTTCAAATCCTACGAAATATGCGCAGTTACGACTTCCAAACACAAGTGTACTTGGTTTGTGCAACAATGGCCATTCATAACCTTATAAGGAGACATTCAAGCTCTGACTTCTATTTTCAACAAGCTGAAGATGGTAATGTAATTGGCGAACATGATCAGACTGAAGCTAGTCAACCATCACCTTCAAATGTCAATTCACAGTCTTCATCTCATATGAATCGCGTCCGTGATGCAATCAGAGACCAAATTATCCATAGCTTATCAATTAATTAATTATGTAATATTATTATTTCATTTCACTTTGTCGCAATACTACTAATTGGAGTTCAAAACAGTTTTATCCGTTCAAATTATGTTTTGCTTTTATTTGCCTAATATTTTTTATGATTTCTCT